CCTGCAATTTTCGTGTGTCCGGGTATCCAGCGGACTTCGGTTTGTCTGTGAGTCTTCGCCAAGGCTTGGAAAGTGAGGAAGACTCGTTGTGAAGAGTCCGAAGGGTGGCCCCGGAGGCATCTGGCGGCTGCAATGTTGTCGAGGCAGACAACTATATTCTGTGAAGCGGATTGGGGCAATCTCAGCGCGGCCTTCAGGCCTTCCAGAGCTCCTCTGGCCTCAGCATCAAACACCTCGGCAGGGCCGAGGCGTCCTGCGCCTTGACAAATGGAGTGATCACGTTGGTGAACGGCATAGCCGTATCCGGCAGCGCCCTTCTCGGACAGTGAGCCGTCTGAGTTTGGCGGTTCTACGCAAGAAGGCCAGTGTTGGGACAGCGTCTACGGGCTCTGGTCCGGAGCAGCCTGCTTTCGCCAGCGCGTCAGCCTGCTCGTTTCCTGCAATTTTCGTGTGTCCGGGTATCCAGCGGACTTCGGTTTGTCTGTGAGTCTTCGCCAAGGCTTGGAAAGTGAGGAAGACTCGTTGTGAAGAGTCCGAAGGGTGGCCCCGGAGGCATCTGGCGGCTGCAATGTTGTCGAGGCAGACAACTATATTCTGTGAAGCGGATTGGGGCAATCTCAGCGCGGCCTTCAGGCCTTCCAGAGCTCCTCTGGCCTCAGCATCAAACACCTCGGCAGGGCCGAGGCGTCCTGCGCCTTGACAAATGGAGTGATCACGTTGGTGAACGGCATAGCCGTATCCGGCAGCGCCCTTCTCGGACAGTGAGCCGTCTGAGTATACAACTAGTGTAGATGGGGGGATGGATTGGAGCCACTTGTCGAAGTCCTCGGCGGAGTCTTCTTTGGATGCAGTCTGTAGCGGCTGCTGTGTCTCGGAGTTGTATATATGCGGGAGCAGCACAGGCCGTTGGCAATTTGCGAGCAGCCTGTCGGTTCTTCGGAGTCGAGTTGGGAAGGTTTTGGGTGGACGCTGGTACCTCAACTTAATACTTCTGATAATGGGCGGTGGCGTCACCTCGGCGGTGCGTTTTGCTAGAGGATGTTCTTTATCCAAGGACTTGATACGAGCAGAGAAACGCAGTCGTTTCGCCTCGAGCAGTTGAAGAATCGGCGGTATGCCGCTTTCCCGGTGCAGAATTGTGGTTGGTGTCGTCTTCCAAGTCGGGAGAATAGCGCGGATGGCTTGTTTGATGGCCTTGGTCATTTTCTTCACAAGCTGTTGGATTCGGGACGATCTTTCTTTCGCTGGCTGTCTCCAGCGCGGGCTCCCTGAGCCAGGGTACCAGGCTTCCGTTCCAAATAGCAGAACTGGTTCGACACAGGCTCTAACAGCCCTCTGTACAGCGCTCGGCAAAGGACCGCGTCGTGTATTGCCTAGACTTCGCAGGTGACAAGCCACCGCCTGAGCTTTGGCTGCCCACTTCTCAACGTGAGTCTTGAATGTTAGCTTGCTGTCGAGCCAGATTCCCAACCAGCGCATGGCCTTTTCCGGGTGCCTTACGGCGTCGCCGTGCCGGATTGGCGGCCTGGCTTCCCGTGTTTTCAATGAAAAGTGCATAACTTCTGTTTTGTCCGGGTCAAATGAAATGCCGTTGGCGGCGCCCCAGTCCACGAGCTCTTGAATATACGCTGACGCCATCCTGGCAGTTTCGCCCACTGAGTTCCCTGTGCAGAGAATTGCTGTATCGTCTGCGTAGCCGAACCTTCCCTCGGGTTCACCCAGGCGATAAACCGGTTCCGTGTACAACAGAAATAGGATCGGGGATACAGGCGATCCTTGTGGAAGGCCACACTGCAGAGGAGTCGTCGATGTGGTGATGTCTTGATATCTGACCCTGGCGGAACGGCCGCTCATGAAGGAGCCTGCCCATCGTGCAAGATAATCAGGCCAGCCTTGTTGGCGGAGCCGCAAAACAAGGCGGTTGCAGAGGGCCGAGTCGAAGGCTCCTTGAATGTCGGCAGTGACCAATGTGGCCACTTGCCCGCGTGCGAGTGCTTCCTCGATGTCGTGAACCAATGCTGCGACCAGATCAACGGCCGATCTTTTTGGCAAAGCCCCAGCCTGCTGCGGATGGAGGACTCCGTAGTTTATCGATGCCCATGCTAGACGGCGAGCGATAAGGCGCTCGAGGCCTTTCCCAAGACAGGAGAGGAGTGAGATGGGGCGCCATGCCCTAGGCTTCGACAGATCTCTCCTCCCTGGCTTGGGAATCATGACTACTTCTGCTTCCCGAAAGGCTTCCGGGTGGTGGCCTGCCTCAAGACACCCCTCGTAGAGGCGTCGAACGTGCCCACCTATGATGTCCCATACTGCTTGCAGCAGCTTGACCGTGATATTGTCTGCTCCGGGTGAGGTGTTGCCCGTCTTGATAGTGGCATCTTCCACCTCCTGTAGTGTGATTTCTTGGGCAAATGGTATCACACGAGATGGGCTGACTGGAATCCATGGATCTGAGATGTCATCTGCTGCTGTGCGACGCTCCAGAGTGCTGCGTCTCAGAGCATTCGCTTTGTCAAATTGAGATTCATACACCTCGTCTCCGACCTGGAGAGGCGGTGGTTGAAAAGCTCCAGGAGCCTTGAGCCATCGAACTGCCTTGAAGACTGTTGCGCTGTCCGAAAATCCGTCGATGAGGTTACGCCAGTACTGGCGCTTGGCTCGGCGAACCACACGTTGGAACTCTTTTCTTGCAAGTTGTACGTCCCGATTGAATCCCAGAGGGAAGATCCTTCTGATAGCACGGTACTCCGCAGCTGCGCCAGCACACTCTTCAGTCCACCATGGCGCACTTCGCGTTCCCTTCCGGACCGGACGACCGGCGGCAGTGGCTGCCGATTGGAGAAGATCAACCAGTGCTGTAGCAAGAGTGTCTAGCTCCGATACTGTTGCATTGTTCTGCGTTATTCGTTTTGCACCCGCCAGAACGAGTTCTTTGAAGCGCTGCAGCTCGTCTTCGGTGGTGACGCGAACTTTGCCCGGCACCTGTGGGGAGATGAGGGCAATGTCCGGCAGCGTGAGGCTGAGGGTGAAGTGGTCAGAGCTGGTTGCCAGGTGATCCTCCACAACTGCGGCTGCCAATGCAATGTTGGAGAAGGCCAGATCGATCGTGTTGCCGTGAGGATTCGTGGGAACATCTGCGGTATTCAAGAGATTGAGGCCGTTTTGGGCTGCCCAGGAGGCAATGTCTTCTCCACGGTCTACTAATCTACCTGTTTGCCAAGAGTAATGCTTGGCGTTGAAGTCGCCCGCTACCAAACACCTCTCCGGTGGTGACCACCGCAACAGAACGTTGAGTGCGGCATCGTGGGAGGGTTGTCGGTAGAAGTTTACGATGGTTGTTCCGTTGACTGTTATCCATAGTATGTCGCGTGTAAGTGCTGGTCGCCTTTGATCTACTATAGCCATAATTCAACGAAATAATGGAATCTGCCACACCGTCATCGAGCAACGACCCCGACACGTCCACTCGCACGACACCTGTAGATTTATTCCTAGCAACACCTGCCCCTAGCACCCGATCAGAATCACCAACTCAAGACCCAGACCATCAGTACCTCTGGCGCCGTTTCCCCGAACACATTTGGTCACAACGTGTACGAGACACATCCTCTTGGGTATGGAATTTTGGGTATGATATCCAGAGCGCCAATGGTAATCGGCGATGGGTTTGCAAACGCTGTATCCAAAGCAGGCGTCCGATGCCCAGAAACTTCGCGGAGAAGGGCATTCAGAACGCAAATGCTCATCTGTTCAGGGATCACAGAATATGCGCTCCCGGTGAAGGAACGAAATCATCGGCCCAGAAGCAAGCAGAGAAGGCGAAGAGCAGGGACCAGAGGTCTATTGCCGATGTAATGAAACTCGATACAAGGCTCCCACGCGAGCAAGACATTGCCAATAGTCTCGTTCAGGGCTTTGACCGAAAGTACTTCCAACGCCTCGTTCTTGAATGGATTATTGAGGAAAATCACTCTTTTAGCGTTTGTGAGCAGGGAAGATTACGAAGAATATTCGAATACCTCAACCCTTTAGTGAAGATAACCGACGCGAACATCACGAGGTCGACTATTCGCCGTAAGGTACTCGCGGCCTACGAAACGCACAAGACTAAGGTTGCAGAGGTTTTACAGCAGTCATCCGGCCTGATTCATGTCTCGTTTGATGGGTGGAAGTCAGGGAATAGACACAGCCTGTATGGGATTGCTTGTTTCTTTCGGGATGAAAACAGTCAGCCGCGCAAGCTAGTGCTTGGCGTCCCTGAACTGCGAACACGCCATTTTGGACACAATATTGCGGCTGAAATACTTGACGTCCTTGATGCGTATGGAATCAAGGATCGGATTGGGTACTTCACACTGGATAACGCAGAGAGCAATGATAAAGCAATGGAAGTAATTGGTGGCGAGCTTGGCTTTGTGGGAGCTACAAAGCGTGGCCGCTGTTTTGGCCACACTATCGACCTCTCTGCGAAATCTCTTCTTTTCGGCCACAACGTTGAGGCGTTTGAGGAGCAGTTGTCAGGTGCAGCAGCCTTATCCGAGGCAGAGCACACGCTTTGGCGGCGTAAGGGACCCGTCGGAAAGTTGCACAATCTAGTCGTTGATATTAGAAGATCAGACCAGCTTACCTACCTTCTGCGGAGTATACAGCGTTCGGAATTCGACATGTCAGCTGATGCTAGGATCAGAGCAAGGAAACCACTCGATTTAATCATTGACAACGATACGCGATGGCTTTCTCAACTATATATGATTAGGCGAGCCATTACTCTCCGCCCATACATCGAGCAGCTTATATTGAAGCATCGCCAGCAATGGGAGCAAGATAACAGATCGAAGAGGACAGGGAATCTTAGGAAATCAGCCAAGGTGCCGCGAATTTGCTTGGAAGAAAACCAGCTGACGGTTCGTGATTGGGCTGTCCTCGAGCACCTTGCTACCCTTTTGGGGTTCTACGAGGATGCCGTCAAGACTCTGGAAGGCGACGGTCAGCAGCGCAAGCGGAAGCGCGGATGGGTGGGCTCCTATGGGAATGCAGTGCTGTAATCGATCCAAATTATCGATCTGAGGGTCAGGATCGTTAAGATTTGATCGATAAGCCTATTGATCGATTAGATCGATATCGTTAAGGATTGCTTAGTAAACTCATACCAGTTTCAAAAGTAAACCTCAAATTCAAGAAACCTGTCTAATTTCTCAATCCATGTCTATTGCAACCTCACCGCTACCTACCTCAGTGAATAGTAGTTGCTCAGGTATCGTGGCGTACGCCTACGCTTCGAAGAGGGGGAAGAAGTAGTGCTCGAGACAACCTGAGATACTTGCGAAGCTGAGTCAGAAGGTCGTAAATTTGATATCTGGTCGCTATCAAAGGGTGAGAGGGCGCTCTCGATCTCAAAGTCATCGTAGGCGAGGTTAGCGGCGTGATCAGTGTTGTAAGACATCATTCGGAGAGGAAGTTAACGATGTTGGCAGATTAAAGGAGAAGTGTGCGTTGACTCACAAGACAAGCGAGCTTTTGAACCTTGAGGTGCAGATCTTATACTAATTTACTTGGGGCTTGCATAACCGAGGCCTCTAATCTTACGTGGGCAATGGTCAACTTCATGCTTACGTGAGGATTCTCAATCCTTAACGATCTCGATATCGATAAATCTGAGATCGATAACTAACGATCTCGATATCGAGATCGAAATCGTTAGGGCTTAACGATCCAGGATCGTTTACAGCACTGGACGGAAAACTGCGCGACGCGCAGAAAATGAGGTTTTATGTAATGTTAAGCAAATCAATAATAATTACGAGTACTTTCTTAACAGTACATGCCAAGAAAGTAATAATACAAGGGAAGGGTGTTTGTCTTGTAAGTGCAGTCTAGTAAGAGTACATCCGGGTAGGCATGAAGATATGCCAAGGAGTCTGGATGAGCAAACAAGACAGCGGTAACCCGGCCGTCTTGACCAAATTGTATTCGACTCCAGAAGCCTTCTTGATCAAGTTGGCTCGCAAGTGCATGGACAGAGCTCTGCCCTTCGCAAACTTCCCTCCGAGTCGCTGCAATTCCGTTGTAGATATCTTGCTGGGTAGCAAGTGAATCACAATTTTGCCTTATAAAAGTGCGGATGTCTTTTGGGGCTATGCCAGCATTGGATAGGCGTGACAAATTTTCGGCGTCATCTGCAGTCAACTTGCGATGTGCTGGGTGAGCAGAAGGGTGTTGGCTAGGTGCATGGTTATGCCGAGAGAATCGTGGGTCCGGGCGATATTTCACAGCCCAAGAGGCCCTGTCTGCCGACTCTTTAGCCAATATAGAAAACTCACAGTTCGTCCCCCGAGTTGCTGTCTTTCGTTGGCGTTCTGTTGACGCACTCGGAGGGCGACAGGATCGATCACATGCGTATGTAACTGTTTGTCTGCCGCCCTTGGCTCTCGTGGATTTGCCCGTTGTGAAGGCGTAGCCCCGTGGCGCTGCCCAAGCATTGATCGCTCGGAAAAGGTCATCACGGGATGCATAATTGAGCCTTGGAGGCAGGCAATCATAGGCAAACGATTCCATTAGACCGAATAGGAATGGCTTTTCTGTTTTACATAATTTTTTTTTATCGGGCGTTTGTAAGTGAATGCTTGTGCGCGAACGCGAACTCGGTTCACGACGCGGTCTAAGAATGCTTAGTCATTTTCGCGGTACCCGTGGAATTTTAAATTCGCGGGTACCGCGAACCTATGGGCTCCCACTCCGAACACCGGCGAGATGGGATTCTGTACCTTATTGTCAATACAATACAACTGCTTCTCATTAGTTTGGAGCAAGACGTATGATAAATGCCAAGAGAGCTGAAAGATGTGCCAGTGGATCTGTTGCTTCCACCGCCGTCTTGGGCGGCGGAGCCAGCAGCCAGGGGATAGCTTCAAACAGTGGCTGAAACAGACCTCACGTGAGGAGGCCTCAACACCAACTCAGGCGTGCGTTATCCATAGCTAGATAGATTGAACAACAAGCAAGAACAACATCATGATCACCAGCGCGTAGCCGTTTGTGCCTGTGATAATTATCACCCGATAGAAGCCTTGCGCTTCCAACAAGAATTTTTAGTTTTAAAATAAATATTTTTTTTATTATAAAAAGCTTTTAATTTATTAATAATTATATAATTTACTTAGTTTTATTAGCTTTAACTTTTAAAAATTATAATAAGTAACTTATTTATATTAAGTTTTTTATAATACTTAATTATTTTATTATTATTATTTATAAATAATTATAATAAATATTAATAAGTACTTATAAGAAATATATATATATATAAAAGTAAGAACTTATAATTAGTTATATTAAGTCTTAATAGTAAAAAAAGTAAATAACTTAAATAAAAAGAAATAAAATTAACTTAAAATATAAGTAAAACTTTATAAATATACTATATATAAGTATTTTAAGTTTTTAATATAACTTAATATAAATTATAAGCGTAAAGTTTACTTTTATAATAATAGTAGTTAAGGCTATTATAAGATAACTTTAGCTAGTAATTATAATATAATATTAATTATACTAGTATATTTAATATATTATAATATATAAATAGTTTATTTTTCTAGTTTTTTATTATTTTTAGCTTAATATAACTTAATATTATTTTAAATTTTATATTTATATAATACTTATATTATATATATAACTTTATTTAATTATAAAGCAAAATAATTAAAAATTAATTAGTATATATAATTTATAATTAATTTAATTAAATTTAATAATAAGCTAGTAATATTACTTTTATATATAAAAAATTATCTTTTTATTTTTTAAAATAGCACTTATTACTAGGTTCTAGTTATATTCTCTCCAAAAAAAGAGATTTAAGAATATAATATTTATATAGAATTTTAAAATATAAGCTATATTTTAAAGCTTAAACTTATATATATTTTTAATTTAAATAATTATATTATTATATCCGTGGATTTTAAGGTGTATATTTCTAAAATAAGCTCTTTTAAGGTTATTATAAAATTTATATAATCCTTTAATAAAGCGTTTAGAATTATTATAAATATAAAAGTTAAATTTAAAGTTTAAGATAAAGGAATTATAAAGTAAATAAACAGTTGCAGTTAAGAAAGTAAATTAGATTTATACTTTAAATAGCTGTTATATTAGCTATAAAGCTTCTAGCTAAATCTTAGTTAAAGTTCTAGTAAAGGCGCTACTCTTAATTTCCGATTTATTCTATTACTAAGACTATTTCTTCTTCTTTTTTTAGTTCTTAATAGACCTTTTAACTTTGCTCTTAATTATTAAGTCTTATAGTTTCTGATTAATTTCTTCCTGGACTTTACTGTCCGGAGACTATCTAGCTAGTTATATTAACTTATAAAGGTAATAATACTCTGAATAGAAGTGCT